ACAAAGGAAGCAGGAGAAAGGGGTTTGGAGAGTATGGCAGGTAGACAAAATCCACAATTCTACAGTCCAGTAGAGACATTAGAGGGGAGTTCAAGGACCTGGAGTTCGTCAGCCAAGTCTAAGATGGAAACGGAAATTTGGGAACTGTCTACAACAGATAGTACCATAGGCTTGAGGGGGGATGAAATCACCTAGTAAAGTAAGAAGAGAAGAGGGTCTACTGTTGGGTAAAATACTTGATAGAGTAGAGGTGGCTACTAGGTAGGATACTGTTCATTTAATCCCCATAATAATTCTGTTAATTGGACACTACTGTAATGCCCATTTTACAGATGAGGAGACTAAGGCACAGATTGGCTAAGGAACTTGGGCAAGGTCACACAGGGAGTAAGGGAGACAGTCGGTGTTCAAACCAGGAAGTCTGGCTTCAAGAGTTCCGGTGCCCAAGATTTTACGCACTTAAAAGGCATTCTAGAGAATGTGAACTTCTGTCTCCTTCCCCTCTCCCCAGTTCCATAGCATTCCCAGATTTTCACTTGCTGCCCTGGATTTGTGGCAGAGTGCACATGTGGTCTGGCTCATCTGAGACCATGTCTCTGAGGATGAAAACTGAGCATGTAGGACTGGGAGCTCAGTTGAGTTAACTCGGAGGGTGTTTGCCATCAGGAGGCACAGATGCTGTTTAAGTCAGGAAGAAATGAGCGTTCACTTCAAGTCCTGCTTTAGAAAGCCTCTTTGTTTTATGACTCTGGGTGCAAGCAACCCTTTTAATTTTGTGTTTTGGATTCCAGCCATAGGAGGCCTTCTTTAATGTAGCAGATGGCTGCAGACAGGCAAGCCAGGTTCCTCCATTCTGCATCAAGCAGCCCTCCCTCGAGAGGGATCTCCCAATTATGTTGCTCTGAAAAAGAGAAGAGAACTTAAAATGGACACATTAAATTTACGCCACACGGAAAGTCACCACTGCTTTAACCATTTGCAAACATTAGCGGGGTCAGGCAAACCTTTGAGCAGCTGATGAAGATTTGGATTTTTTCCTGCGGAAAATGTGACGTAGGTACATACACAAAAATGTGCATATTCATTGGGGGGGTCACAGGGTCTCTCATATCCGTCCCTGAAGCTTCAAGGGGTCCATGGCCTGGAGAGTCCTGAGCCTCCAGGAGAGGCAGCTGTCATTCTTTTATTTTATGTTTCTTTTCTTTCTTTTTTTTTTTTTTTTAAATACATTAAGACTCTTGACATCTGAGTTATGAAAATAAAGGGTCTGTGGACTATTAGGAGATCATCTCACACCAGAACACTCAGATTTTACTGGGGAAAAAAAAACCAAACCCTTTCAAATGTCGAATAAAGTCACTTTAGTGTATTCTCTGGTTTGCACAGAACCTTGTGGCTCATTCTGTTAAACAGTAACATGAAGTTTCTTTGGAAAATTTTAACATGATGACTTTTCTGTCAGTTTTTTTTTTTTTTTAAGATTTTATTTATTTATTTGAGAGAGAGAAAGAGCATGAGCAGGGGAGGAGCAGAGGGAGAGGGATAAGGAGACTCTGCGCTGAGCGAGGAGCCCAACGCGGGGCTCAACCCCACAACCCATGAGATCATGACCTGAGCTGAAATCAAGAGTCGGACACTTAACAGGCTAAGCCACCCAGGAACCCCTTTCTCGGATTTTTGTATACCATTTCTTTGGGATGTCACTCTTCTCACACTTTTCTCCATTTAGCTCTGCCTCCTGCACTGTTTCTAATAATAAGATTGGAGGTGGGGCTAGTCTGTCAACTTAAGAACATGTACAGAATGTTTAGAACTTGGGAAGTTAGCTTTATCGTTTCTAGGACACTGTCCAGAGGAGTCACTCAAACTCAGACATTTCTTCCTCTCATTCCACTTGCCATGACTGTCTCAGGAAGTGGGAATCTTTGAGGTGGCTACTAGGTAGGACCCTTTATGGATCTCTGTGGTCGTTCACCGATCCTTCCACACTGGGTGACTCCTCCAGACGTCATCACATTCTTCCAATTCTACTGGGTGTGCCCTGGCTGTTAAGGGAGAATCTTCAGAGCTATAGCAAAGAGTGGAATTGACATATTTATTAAGGATTCTGACACCAAAACCAATTTGCCTCAATTACCCTAAATTTTAAATTAAAAATTAAGAATATGGGAAGACTGAGTTAATTATTCCAGTTCTTCATGTTCCTTATATGGTCCCATCTTTCCTGAAAATTACCTTCTCTTTGGTTCTGGAAAATTCAAGGTGGGAGTAGGGCTACACATTAAGGCTGATTTGTTCTACCTAATGAATAACTAAAACAATTATTTTTATTTATTTTTGGAAAAATCCAAAGAAAAGGCTCACTTTTTCCTTAAACATCAACTCAATTAAGGAAAGCCTATTTGGGACTTCAAACAGGGTTTCTCAACCTCAGCACGATTGACATTTTGGGCTAGATAACTCTTGGTAGAAGGAGGCTGTCCTGTATATTGCAAAGAATTTAGCAGCTTCTCTGGCCTCTACCCAGTAAATGCTATTAGCACCACCCTCCTAGATGCGGCAGTCACAATTATTTTCAAACATTGCCAAATGTTCCCTGGGAGGAGGGCACAGCCACCCCTCGTTGAGAGGCACTGGCCTATATTACCCAGAAATAGGTTTCTTTACAAATAAAGCAAGATTGAGAATTGAAGCTGCTTTTATCTGATTCTCCTGGGGGAATGCTAAACTGAAAAATCAGTTTAACTATTTTGATGTCCCACGGAGACTATATCTACTTGTTCAGATCATCCCATTCTACATTTGTTTTTAGAATCCATTTGATTGTCAAAAACAGGAACTTCCTTACTCCATTCCTAGGGCTCCGACATGCCAGTTCATTGACTGTTTGATAATCTTTTCGACTATCTAGGCATTTAGTGATCTGTCTGATTTTCTCTATCCTTTGAGTCTGGGCAATTCCTCCGTTCTTTGGGAGGCATCTTTTGTGCTCTTACAGTTTTTCTTCCTCCTTCTATGTTATCTCTTCCAACTTCAGACCTAAGCTGAGCCCACAGAGCAACTTGGGAGAGGTTGGAGTCTCTGGTTGCTTTGATCAGTATGTGAACTCATAGTTCAGGAAACAAAACTGTTGGCTTTGAGATTATCAATGTGAGCATTCATAGGAATCCTGCAATCACAAATTGTTCCTTGCATATTATGCAGTGACTGCAAGACAGCAAATGGTTTGGGGGAAGATTTTACTAGCTATTTGAAGTGTGGAATGGCTCTAGTACACAAAATACTTAAACCAAATTATTATGTCTTATAATGTTCAACAAAACACTCCGCAAACATTTAGTTCTGGGAAAAAAAAAAAAAAAGGCACCCTCAAGGCAGGGTTATGGGCACTTCTGGGAGTTGTAAACCCATGCAGGCTCCAGAAATATGTGCCTTCCAAGGACTGGAAACTTCTGAATTACCAACAAATAATCAGTGAGTGTGACAAAGAGTTAAAGTACACAGACTTTACTTTCACAAAATTTATGATGTAGTAAAGAGGTTTAAGATGTAGACCTGAAACTGCACACCAATGGTCAATAGGCTAAATCGGGACCATGGATTTGTTTTGCTTGGCTTGGATAGGATTGGCCTCCTGAATGTCTGAGAAAGGGAGAAAAAGTGAGAAAGAATGAAAGAAGTGGCTAAGCATATAAAAGTGATATTTTTTTTGCATTAACATCCAGATTTCCAGCTGTTTTTGAAAAATCAGAAGATCTGCCAACACTGCCCCTTATTTCATTTCCCCATGGTGGCAGTTGGCTGGAGTGGATCAGCAGCTGCCCCTGTGATCAGAATACGCACTGTCTGGTTCCCCACCCTGGCCCACTGCACTTCCTCACCAGGCCCCTGTCCCATTGGAAATGGCCACCTCTCATGCAGACACTTGTGCAACATCTACTTAGTCTTTTCACTGTGGGAACAAACTGCTGGAGCCCCGAGCAAAAGAGCAGTTGTCCATTTGTGTGAGAGGATGCTGGCTCAGGCCGCGGAGGTGATAACAGAAAGCAGTGAGAAATCAGATTTGGCATATATTTTGAAGGTGGAGTTAAGAAGATTTCATGATGGATAGACTTAGGCTATGAGGGAGAAGATTCGGAAGTGACTCCAATTTTGATTTTTACTTAGATTAATTGGCTGAAAAAGGAAACCTACCGTGGAGTACTGGAAAACCCGGGTTGAACTTTTAAAACGAGGACAAAATTATTTAAAAGGTTTTCTTCACTAGTACTCTTCAAACTGGACACCCTACGTGGTGCTACTATCACATTCTGGGAAATGCTGACGCTTCGGGGGAATTTAAGGAAAAGAGCAAGGAGAAGATGCCCAAACACTAAGGCAGAGACTTAGGTTCTTGCCGCAGGAGGCGGAGTGGAGGGATACCAGCCTACAGGTGAGCTTTGGGCAACTCAGTGGCCTCACCTGTCCAGAAGGGTGTGTGTATCTTGAACTATTGGGGTTGCTCTCCCAATACACGGACAGCCCTAATTCGGGGAACCCCAAGTGCAGGCCCTGCCAGCGGGGTTGGGGGAGAGCCGAGACTCCGAGATTTCCATACAGAAGGGGTTCTAGGATTGCTGCTCAGAAGTTTGTTTTGAAGCTAGTTTTCATAAAAAAGAGGATTCTCTCAGAGTTATATAGTTACCCCCAAAATCAATAAAAGTAGCCAAGTTGCGTCCGAAGATCTTTCTACAGTGTTTGTATGATTGAGAAAATCTGCAATTGTCCCTATCAAGGGCAGTAGTTTTATTTTCTTACAACGTGGGTTGCTTTGGTTAGTGGAGACTACTAGCGGCCATCGTGGCGGTGGGAGCGCACCGACTCCCACGCCTGGGCCTGGCCATTGCCCCAAGAGCCTCGGGCGGATCGGAAGCCAGGCTTGGCCGCGCGGAGCCAAGCGCCAGGGCTTCCTTCCCGCCGGCCCCGCAGCGGTCACTCGGCCTCTCGCGCGCATGCGCGGACTCCAGCGGCGTCCTCCCCGGCTCCTTCCCTCCCTCATCCGGGTCCTGGGCGAGCGGGCGCCGTGCGCGTGTCCCGCGGCCGAGCTGCTAATAAAGTTGCACTGAGGGGAAGCGCAGCGACGGCGCCCGGGGAGTGCGTCCAGCCGGCGGGTGAGTGAGTGTGGGGCCCCGGGGCGGGCGAGCCGGGCTGGGGGCTGCAGCTTCTTCCGGGACGCGGCTCCCCCTCAGGCCCCAGCGGCTGCTGGAGTCGGGCCGAGGCGGGGGCGTTGGGCCGCGGGCGGAACGGAAACCGCCCGGGCCTGCGGGGCGGGAGGTAGGCCGAGTCCCGGCCTGCAGAGGTTCGAGCGGCCGAGGATGGAGCGGCCCGTCCGGCTGCGGAGGCCTTACTGCGGCCGGGGGCGTCTCGAGGCTGGCCTTGGTCCCTGCGCTGCCGTTGCCGCCCGGACTCTGGAGGGAGGCGCTCTGGACGCCCTCGGGGCGGGGGTGGGGTGGGGTGGGGGAGATTCCCGGCCCCGCTTGGGTCCGGAGGAGCGGTTTGTTGTACCTCATCTAAGCACCACTCAGTCACACCCCTGGTAGGATCGCCGTGCTGGGTCGAGCCGTGTGATCTGCTACCCTGCAAAGCTGTCCAATGGCTTGATGAATCCGTGCCGTCGTCGCTTTGTGTTTCAGAGATAAGGATCCACGCTTATCGGTGGGAATTACACTCTGGGCACTTGTGCCCTGCTGCTGCACTCAGCTGGTAGTTAGACCTGGTTTCTGCCACTTGCCGTGCTAGTTTTCACCATTGCAAAGATTTCTTGTCCTTTCTTGCAAACTTCTGCATTGGTGCAAGGAGAATGCCAAGCCGTCCCTGTTTGCCTTCATCATATTCGGTCTCTGCCCGGTCTTTCACTTCAGTAGCAGTACTCAAATTCATATTCCGGTCTCTCCCCTTCCCCCTCCCTTTTCCCTCTCTTCCCCTTTCAGCTGCTGCTATTACGTGGAGTTTGGAGCCTAAGCTTTGAAAACTCCCATGTGGCGCCTGTCTTAAGTTGGAGCATGCTCAGTAGCCAAAAACAGATTTCGGTTGCAAAAAGAACTGGGGCGAGGATAGCCCGGGTATTTGGACGTGTGCCCGATTCCTAACAAAATGTTCCAATTCTGGTTTTGATGGCATTGGAGAATGGAGCTGTAGGCCATCCTGGAGGTGAGGAATGCCTGAACACCCTGGGCCAGATCACTATCTTGATTGCAGAGACATTGTTTCCTGACCAGCTGGAGGTCTGGGGGGGGGGGGGGGGACATTCCTGGCTGCTTGTGCGTTTAAATGGGTGTGGTGCTAAGTATATCTTGTTTACCTTATCTTTCTGTGGAAAAAGTTTTGGGTTTGTCACATCATGCGTGTTGCCTAGCACTACCAAAAGTGTTCTTATCTAGCAACAAAGGCTGGGTAGGTGGAGGTTGCGGCTTGGCTTCACAGAAGTTGAGAGGAAAGGGTGCTTGAGTTGCTGTTTTAAAAATTAAATTTAAGTTCCTAAAAACCAGAGTACTTGCATTTCCTTAGAGTACCTGAATTGCCCAGAGTGAGTTTTGAATTTTAATTTGAAACCTAAAAGGCTCAAAAGCCTTAGTCCCAGTAAATTTAGTGACATTGCAAGTAGGGTGAAGTTTCTGCTAGATGTCATTGTGGTGGTGGCTGTTGTAAGGAAAACAATACCCTAGACACAATGTGACAGTTTCACACGTATTGATCAGAATACTCTTAGGAAATTAGTGTGTCCCAAATTTAGTAAGTAAGGGATTATTTACAGATTTGTACAAATTCTTTTTTTTTTTCTTTTACTCCTTCTTTGGTAGCTATTTTTTCCCCTCTGCGGTGAACCCTGAGATTACAAGAATACGGAACAACTCATAAGAGGCAATTTAACAAAATTTAAACTTCACAAAGGTGGTATATAATTACAAGAATACGGAACAACTCAGACAATTTAACAGAATTTAAACTTCACAAAGGTGGTACCTAATACGTTTTGGATTTTTAAAATTTAAGTTTTGTTTTGAATGTTTGCATGGTTACATCCTCCTCTCTTTCCCTCTATATTGCGGATCCCTCCATCAGCGTGCCTTTTTCACATAGCTGTTTTTATTGCATAAATGTTACTGTGTATCTTTGTTACAAAAATTCATTCGTCATTTATCCTTCCATTTCTTTCAAATCTGAAATAGCTAAAATAGACAGTAAAAGTTAGGTGAACCTCCTCCGTTCGCTTTCCTCTTAGATTTTAAATGCATCCATATGATACAGTCTGGTAAAAAGGAGGAAAGCCAGCAGTGAACTGGGGAAGAGAGAAGAATAAAATATTTTTGTAGATTCTGTGCAGATTTGGTGGTATTATCTACTTGTCTGGTTCACTTAGGTAGGCGCCACAGAAATGGGTAGATTGATACGTGTTGCATTTCTTTTCCCCCTGGCAAAGTCAGCTATTAATTTCAGTGGGACACAGTGGCAGAATGTTGTTACTAATGAGGTTTGAATCAGATTGTTGTTTACTGTTGGTTATGTAACATGTTGCTGGAAGTATTATTAAAAGTTCCCTTCTGCAGCAAGGTAGAGGCAAGTAAATTCTGCTTACTCTTCACTGGGTTTTAATTCTTGGCTGAACCTGAAGGCACATTACACTATAACCATAATTATACCTGGGCAGCCTGTCTGTTTCCTGTTTGCATCATGAACCCAAACATTATGATTTGCAGTGATGATCTTTTTTGTCCTTTGCGTTAACAGAGGCAATATGTTTTCTCTGTCTACTGAAAACAGATTTGTAACTTGGTCAAATCAAAGATACTGGCTTCTTAGTGTTTTGAAGACTAGGCAGTAAAATACCAGTTTTTCATCTTAGTGATTTAAGTTGAAATACAAATACTGTCTAAAAAAATCTGTTTCACGCATATTGTTTGATAGTATTTTATGTAAATTTTAATGTTACCAGTAGTTTCTAGAGTTTTTGAATTAAGAAAGCCCTTTTTGTTTATGACTTATCAGTGTTTATTATTACCAGATGTATATGTTGGTTTAGGCACTGAGCCACACATTTGGGTGAATTTCAGAGCCTGCTTGAGTATACTTTAAGATATAGCCACCTTTATTCCTTTGGTTTATCATTCTACACTGTTTTCTTCTGGAGCGTCCGTCTGTGTTCCCTGTCTTCTGTGTGTGTGTGTGTTTCATACTAAGCACAAAGAAGAAGCCAAAATAGTTTATTTCTTCAGATGTTGCCACTGCCTTACATCCAGTGGATTTGCCAGTCTACTCATAAGGTCAAAGACGGTGAAGAAAATTTCCTTTTATAAAGGACAGTCGCAGCCTGAGAGATGATTTTTATCTCTACCAGTCCGAATATTCTAGAGAAGAGAGAGTTATCTGGAAGGATAGGACCCAAGAAGGCTGCACAGAGGTAGGGAGCTTTCCCACCAAAAAAGATGATGCATGATCCCAGGAAGCCTGTCCATGTCTTCTCATACCTTGTTTTTATACTTCCAAAGCTAATAGAATAATAGAACTGGAATTTTTCGTGCTAGATTATCCAGTTTATTGCCATTGTGTAGAACTGTGAATCTGAGAGGTATGTTTACTAGTTGGAAGTTTAAGATGTACAGTTCTTTTTGAAGAACTGTTAAGATTTAGATTGTTGTTAGGACATCTCCCATTTTCATATGTCCTCTTCATATTCTAAAATTTTATTGTTTTACAAGTTTGAAAAGGTGGTATAATTACATAGTAGGTTTTTCAGAAATAGTCATCTAGTTCCTAACTTTTTAGTTTTGGTGGTTTTTTTTGTTTGTTTGTTTTGTTTTTGTTTTTTTCTTTTGTTTTGCTTTGGGCAGCTAGGTCGAGAAAATTTTGGCCCTATCATAGTAGAGAGGCGGTTTCAGTGACTTTTCTTCCTGCTTTTATTGTAGTATTCTCTAACTTAGTTGTGATAGTATTTTAGAAGAAAGAATTCTTTATTAGACAGTTCTCTATGGGCAGTACTATAATTGTAATTGACTTTTGGAAGCTAGTGTTAAAGTACATTTTGTAAACAGGTTTTGCTCTTGAATTTTGTGGTATACCAGTCTGTCTGTAATGCATATACAGTTTACAGACTAGTATACTCTGTGAAAATTTGACAGTGGTTTGATGTGTTGTGAGAGTCTAACTAGGTTTTTCCTTTTGATTTCTGTGTATGTTTTGTTATTGCTGAAAATAACAGAACAAAACTGGTGTCACCATCCCACCTTTCTCTGAGCATAGCACGTGGGGTTCTGAGAAGTGTCTTACACTTTTCCAATTTAACTGTGATCTCAGAATATGACTGGTGCTTTCAAGGCAAGTTTTGTTTTGTTCAGTTCTGTTTTCATGATGTGTTAGGATCTGTCTTGCATCCTATCTGGTAGGCTGTATAACTTGAGATCTAGTTATTCTGGTTTGTATGTTCCCAGGAAAGGGGGTACTACAGAAATATTTCAAAGCTAGTCTTCTCTTTCCCCTTATTTACATCTCTGTGCCCACTTAAGCGAGTGCCTGCTTAACTCACTATTTCCACTTTTTTGAGGTGGAAGTGTATAACTGAGTGACAACAGGAGCCAAAAAGCTACCCAGAGCCGTATTTGCTCCCTTTTCTTCTATGTGACTTGAGTTCTGGGGTGCACATGAGGTATCTTGAAAACATCTTCCTAAAGCATCGTGTACACAGGTTAGTGCTTTGTGCTCCTGAGACCATTTTATAGTGTAATGATTTGGTATCTGCCCTTGACGGTTTTATAACTTAAAGGAAAGCACTATAATGATTGACCAGCTCTGTGTCTATTCCTGTGCCTACAAGCCTGTGCAAGTATACTCCAACACATCTGGTAGTAATATCGGAAATCTTGCAGGCTCTGTGGGGGTGAGTATACATCTAGATCAGGCGCTGCTTAATTAGAGGACTTAGAGGAGCAGGTGAAGTTTAAAGAGTGATTAAAAACTGGGAAACAAAAGTCTGGACGTGGGAGATAAAAAAAGAGAGACTTGTGTGGGCACAAAGAGAGACTATGTAAGATTATTGTGTGAGAAGTGCCAGGGAACATGAGTTCAGCTCCTGAATGGCTGTGAAATCCACTGTGAGAACTTTTGATATCTTTGGAAATTGAGAGCCATGATTGGGAGAAGTGGAGATTGAAGTGTTTCTCTACTGAAAGTTGTTTCGGTGCCCATGTAATTGTAGCCCCTCTTCCTTATAGATGTTCCCATAAAGAATGGTATTTCTGAATCTAGGACAGCTTGTAGGCAAACTTGCTCCTGGTTTCTCTTCTCTGCCTGTTGCCATGGATGTGGCTTACATGTTTTAATAATTGTATGTCTGGATCCGGGATTGATTTGACAGCAGTGGTGACTACTGTTGATATTAGAACCATAGGGAAGGATATTTTTAAAGCTTTACCCCCACCAGCCACAAAAATGTTACCCTTGGAGATATATGTATATATATATGTATATATATGCAAGTGTGTGTGTGTGTGTGTGTGTGTGTGTGTATATATATATATATGCAAGTGACTTTCTTCCATTGCAGGTGATCCTAAGGGCTTTGGTTCTCCAACCTGCTGCAGATCTGGGACTCTTGTTAAAATGGTGGGAGGTACGGCCCTAATCTCAAACCTAATGAATCTGAATTTTGTGGGATGGTTATGAGAAATTTCTTTCTTTAAAATCTCCATCCATAATTCTTTTCTACAGGGTTGGCTGAGATTATGGTGGGTTGTGACCCATATGGGCATTTATTTGTGTGGGTTGATATGCTCAGCAGGTTCTGTTTTGGCTAACAGTGTTGGGTGAGATTTTTGGATTGGTTGCTTGCCTTTTATTTTGGATTGAAGCAGTTAGAGAGGTGTTGGAGCAGAAAGTGAGGGAGCTGTTTCAATGAATTGAAAAGTCAAGTCTGGGCATGAGCCCTGTGTGTGTGTGTGTCTGGGGGTAAGTGTGGAAGGTGGTTTGTGTATGTCTTTATAGGAGTTGGTTAAGAGGTCCTACTAAGTAGCTTGAGGTAAGAACAGGATCTTTGGGTTTTTGATGTTAATATGATTTCATTTGAAATGGAAGCCTGGTAAAGCTTAATAACATTTCATTCATACATTTAATGTATGTAAAATGTAACGCCTGATCTTCCTTTAGCTTTGCTATCAGCCTTCCCCCAAATCAGTTGATGGCAAATCCTGTTCTTCCAGTAGTCGATGCTGACACTTGGAATCACTGTTGACTCTTCTGTTCTCACATTCCCCATATCTCTTCCATCAGGAAACTTACTATTCCCTGAAATGTATGTGAAGTTGTCTACTTCTCAGCACCCAACTGCCATCACTCTGGTCTAAGCCATTATCATCTCTCACCTAGCTGACTGCAGCTCTGAACTGGTCTCCCACTTTTTAAAACCCTTGCTGTTGATTCTCAGCACATCAGCCAGAGTAATTCTTTAATAATGTTAGTCAGAAATTGTCATGTCTCCATCAGAGAGCTCTCAGATGGGTCCTCATTTGACTTACAGCCAGTGCCCTTATATGCAGGTCTCTTACCTGTTTAACCCCATTTCTTATTTTACCCTCCTTGTTCACTTTATTTTCAGGCTATACTGGTCTTGCAGTTCCCAGAGTGTGCCAGACATGCACCCACCTTGGGACCTTTACATTCCCTGTTGCCTTTGCCTGCCATGGTTTTCCACAGATACCTGCCTGGTTTGCTCCTATTTCCTTCAAGTTTTGACTCTGTTGGTGCTTACTCAAGTGAGGCCCAGCACAGCCACCCTATTTAAAATCACACCTCTCCCACAGCACTTCCCGTTTACCTTCCTCTGCTTTATTTTTCTCCATAGCACTTTTCACCTAACAAACTAATCACTTATGTATTGTCTTTTTTCTGTCTCCCTCCACTAGAGTGTAACACCACATGAGGACAAAGGTTTTGGTCCCCTTTATTCATGTGTGTATTCCCAGCTCCT